CGTTGGTAAACCTGGCCAGAATAAAAACTATCTTGTGCACTCTGCTTTTGCTGACTGGAGACATTCATGTTAGATTCTCCCACAGTTTCCCCCTCCCTCCCTACAACCCTGACTCACACACTCAGAGATGTCTCTCCTCCTCCAGTAAGCTTGAAGTCCCCATATCACAAGATGTTACCATGGTAATTATTGCAGTGTCACCAATACAAAAATTCCTCTATCAACCAGCAATCAGGAAGGAGGTGGGAGTGGAGAGACAGAGCACTTACTGTATCTGTCAGAGCTGCAGAAGCCGAAAGAAATCCAATTAGTATGACTTATGTTTTCAGGAGTTGTCTTAAACAAATTAGGAAGCATCCAACGTGGCAATATGAAGCTTATACTGGCCAAGTTTATGTACTGATTACAGTACTGGAGGAGTGATTATGCCATCATTCACTCTTCATGCTGAATGAAGAGATCAGAAACGTGGTTTGCAATTAGGCTAAAGATAGGGGAGAGATGGGAGAAGGGAAAACCCAACTCCTGTTCTGACAAACTGCCCCATGCCAGCGTGCCAAGAGAATTCACCCCAACATCTTCCCTACCATTAACTAGAGCCCTGAAGAGCAATCACTTGTCCAAAACAGGTAGCTGCAATATCAAGTAGTTGCTGCCATCCAAGCCTATTAAGGCTCAGGTGTGCTCCAGAACTGCTGAGCCCTTTTGCAGCTTTTAGTGAAGCAGCTCAATAGGACATCAGGTGTCAACATTTCATTACAAAGATGGCAGTTTTTCCTGCTGCCTCTTAAGCCCATTATAATACTAGTCTGAGCTTCACTGAAAGAGCGCAATCCCCCAGCTTATCTCAAAGATTCCTTGATGTGGACAGTTGTGTCTCCCTTCAGCCATATCTGTCCAGAACATGCCCAATTCCCTTCATTTTATCTACAATGATAAACTGTGTCTTTTATTCTGCTACCCTCCTCCTCACTGATCCAGATTAGAAGCAAGAGGAAGACCAAAGACAGAGTAGGCCCACTGCTTAGTGAAGAGGGAGAAACAGTAACAGGAAACTTGGAAATGGCAGAGATGCTTAATGACTTCTTTGTTTCGGTCTTCACCGAGAAGTCTGAAGGAATGCCTAACCTAGTGAATGCTAATGGGAAGGGGGTAGGTTTAGCAGATAAAATAAAAAAAGAACAAGTTAAAAATCACTTAGAAAAGTTAGATGCCTGCAAGTCACCAGGGCCTGGTGAAATGCATCCTAGAATACTCAAGGAGCTAATAGAGGAGGTATCTGAGCCTCTAGCTATTATCTTTGGAAAATCATGGGAGACGGGAGAGATTCCAGAAGACTGGAAAAGGGCAAATATAGTGCCCATCTATAAAAAGGGAAATAAAAACAACCCAGGAAACTACAGACCAGTTAGTTTAACTTCTGTGCCAGGGAAGATAATGGAGCAAGTAATTAAGGAAATCATCTGCAAACACTTGGAAGGTGGTAAGGTGATAGGTAACAGCCAGCATGGATTTGTAAAGAACAAATCATGTCAAACCAATCTGATAGCTTTCTTCGATAGGATAACGAGTCTTGTGGATAAGGGAGAAGCTGTGGATGTGGTATACCTAGACTTTAGTAAGGCATTTGATATGGTCTCGCATGATATTCTTATCGACAAACTAGGCAAATACAATTTAGATGGGGCTACTATAAGGTGGGTGCATAACTGGCTGGATAACCCTACTCAGAGAGTTGTTATTAATGGTTCCCAATCCTGCTGGAAAGGCATAACGAGTGGGGTTCCGCAGGGGTCTGTTTTGGGACCGGCTCTGTTCAATATCTTCATTAATGACTTAGATATTGGTATAGAAAGTACGATTATTAAGTTTGCGGATGATACCAAACTGGGAGGGATTGCAACTGCTTTGGAGGACAGGGTCATAATTCAAAATGATCTGGACAAATTGGAGAAATGGTCTGAGTTAAACAGGATGAAGTTTAACAAAGACAAATGCAAAGTGCTCCACTTAGGAAGAAAAAATCAGTTTCACACATACAGAATGGGAAGAGACTGTCTAGGAAGGAGTACGGCAGAAAGGGATCTAGGGGTTATAGTGGACCACAAGCTAAATATGAGTCAACAGTGTGATGCTGTTGCAAAAAAAGCAAACGTGATTCTGGGATGTATTAACAGGTGTGTTGTGAGCAAGACACGAGAAGTCATTCTTCCGCTCTACTCTGCTCTGGTTAGGCCTCAGCTGGATTATTGTGTCCAGTTCTGGGCACCGCATTTCAAGAAAGATGTGGAGAAATTGGAAAGGGTCCAGAGAAGAGCAACAAGAATGATTAAAGGTCTTGAGAACATGACCTATGAAGGAAGGCTGAAAGAATTGGGTTTGTTTAGTTTGGAAAAGAGAAGACTGAGAGGGGACATGATAGCAGTTTTCAGGTATCTAAAAGGGTGTCATAAGGAGGAGGGAGAAAACTTGTTCACCTTAGCCTCTGAAGATAGAACAAGAAGCAATGGGCTTAAACTGCAGCAAGGGAGGTCTAGGTTGGACATTAGGAAAAAGTTCCTAACTGTCAGGGTGGTTAAATACTGGAATAAATTGCCTAGGGAGGTTGTGGAATCTCCATCTCTGGAGATATTTAAGAGTAGGTTAGATAAATGTCTATCAGGGATGGTCTAGACAGTATTTGGTCCTGCCATGCGGGCAGGGGACTGGACTCGATGACCTCTCGAGGTCCCTTCCAGTCCTAGAATCTATGAATCTATGAATCCAAAAGCTCTAGCAGGAATGAAGCAGTACCAGGGGAAAGGCTCCAAACTCTGGGAGGAAACAGCAGTCTCCAGGGGGCAGGTGGAGAAAACTAAGTGAGATGAACTGAAGAGACAAAAGGCAAGGATCTGAGGAGGGAGAAATGGCTTTGCCGAGACTAGGATTTAAGAAGAGCAATGTTAGCAACATCCTAGATGACATGGTGTAAAAGTGTAGCGTGGAGAAGGCCCCCTGCTGCCTTCAACATGAGCTAAACTGGTAGAGTTGGAGCAAGGCTGCCTGCTACACTCTCCCTAGGCTTTAGCTCAACCAGTTCAGCGTGTGTTAAAGACAGTGTCCCTCAGCCAACCCCTTTGCTGTAGACAACATGCTAACAGGACACCTTTAAATCCTAGTCTAGGCAAAGCCAAAAAGAGCAAGGGGAAGAGGCAAAGGAACAATGGTGGTGAGAAAAGTGCACAGGGAAGGAAAAACAACCATGGGAAAGAGGACAGGAAGCAGTAGAAAAGGTCTGATGAGTTTCTCTCATTAGAAGGTTTCTCTTTAACCTTCTTCAAGAAGGTCAGAAGACAAGGGAGGAGCAGGGGTTGTCAAACCCTCCTCAGACCAAGTTCTTGCCCTCCACGTGGACAGGACAACCACTCATTTTCATTCTGAAAAGCTGTCAGGCTGCGTGAGCAGACAAACTTCCTTTCCCTTTCCTCACAGCAGGGTGATTTGGCTTTTGTTTCTAGTAGGGGAACTCTGTGGTTTCCCTGCTGGATTTTTCATTTTCAAAGGCCCATTGTTTAGCTGCCTTATTTTTCCAATAGGAAAAAAAAAAATGAAAACGTGGTTGACTTTAACCTGTTTTCTTTTGTTGCTGCTGTTTGTGTAAACAGATGGGGTCCAGCTCCACTGTTTATTCATCAAGTGCTGATCCCAAGACGCTAAAACTGATAGAAAACACAACTGACTGCTCTGCAAGACAGTGAACACCTCGGAAGTTATTGATTCTATGGAGTATTAGGCATTGTGCAGTTAGCGTCTCACACAGACAGCTGATTTAATTAACTCTTTTGCACTCTACTTATTTGCATACTGGTCCCATCCACTTGCCCCCACCATTGCAAGAACCGAGATCCATTAGCAATGGGGTTCTATGCTTATATCATCAATGATTTCTATATCTAACACGCTCAGTTTCCAAGTATCACAAATTCTTGCCCTCAGTGACACCTGTGCAGTGTCACTTCCTTCAATGAGTTGGCACAGGTGTAAGTAACTGGAACTACACCTCTACCCCGATATAACGCTGTCCCCGAGAGCCAAAAAATCTTACCGCGTTATAGGTGAAACCGCGTTATATTGAACTTGCTTTGATCCGCCGGAGTGCGCAGCCCCGCCCCCCCGGAGCGCTACTTTACCGCGTTATATCCGAATTCATGTTATAACGGGTCGCGTTATATTGGGTAGAGGTGTAGTAGACTGTTCTGTTGACAATGCAGAAGCAGGAATAGAATCCAGCTCACGCTTTCATACTGTGCTGGCTCAGGAGAGCTAACAGGTATATAAAACAATAAACACTCTTTAGGCACCAAGTCATCCGATCTGCCTCCAATACACCAGGGAGCTGATCTTTTGAGCAGGAAGATCCCATTTTCATAGAATTGTTTTTCAAAGTAGAATCAAACTTTCCTATAAACACTTTTCAGTTGCTGAATGCGCCAATCCAAGTGCTAGGAAGAGCCCAACACTACAGCAGAGATGACTTACCACTAAGGAGGCAGCACATTACAAGGCTTCAAGAGATGGCAAAGAATGCATATATGCCTGTCTCACTCTAGTTCTGTGAAAAGGTACCTCATAGCCAGGTAACCTGCCCCATCCTTTTTGCTCCAGACCTAACATTGACTTGACTGGCTAGTTCATGTAATTTGCACACAAGGCTAGCATAAAAGAATTGGCATAACTGAGTTAACAAATTTTGCTACATTGGACCTGGGCAAACGTGATCCATATTTCCTACAGACCACAGCCACCTCTTATCTGCCAATAAGTCATTGTGAAAACAGGGAATGGCAGGTAGCTTTTTTCAGCGAGGCTGAATTTATTGATCTCTCCCCTCTTTCCTCCCTTAGGCAAGATATTTTCAGCTTCAGTTGCAAGTTTAAGTTTTCCTCCTGGTTTGTCAAGCTAACTCAAGTCCCTCTTAATTTCAACAAACCAAGGGTATCTGCTCCTTAACTTAAATCAAATTAAGCTAGTACCTTTCGCAGCTTCCCATAGTCGATGAGCTCTGGGCGATGTCTGTGAATCAAAGCACAGAAGCCAAGGCCATCCTTCCAGCTGCGAAAGAGACGGAAGACAGCACAATTAGCAGTGTTCAGTCAGGAAGACACATGGAGGGGCATGACAGATGGGGGCAAGACTCTGGGAGCCTAGATCTTTACTTTTGGGCTCATTAGCTTATAGCAACTTCTGTAAGTACTCAACTGGGGACAAGGCTCTCCTCTGCTTTAGACCCCCATCCTGCTCTCACTGAAGTCAGTGGCCAAAACTCCCACTGACTTGGTGTAGGACCAGGTTGTTAGTGCTGCCGCCTCCCTAATGCCAATTCTCACTCACCACAGAACTTTCATTGTTAAATAGTGCCCAGGCACTCAAGGGCAGACGCAGAGCTTAGGGATGAAAAACATCTTCATATGCAAACCAAAGATCTTCTAGGAGAGGATAGATCAAGAATGAGGGGGAGCAATCGCTATTGGCTATGATCAGCACTATGTTTGCCCTCCCTCATCTCTGCACACCCCTCCCCCCGGATCCTTGGCACAGAATCCAAAGATGGTGGGAGAAGGGAGGACAAAAAATAGACCAATAGCAGGGTGGATAAAAATGGGGTTTATATTCTATTATTTAAATTATAAAAAAAATCTTTTAAAAATAAACCCGTTTAAAATGAAATCTCAATTTAATACAAAATATGTTAAGGTCTAAATTTATTATAATCTCTTGAAACATTTAAATAAAAAATAAATATGCTGAATCCATGAGCCTCTATCAAAAACTTTTGGTAAAGGCTGCTTTTCTATACAAGGAAAGAATCCGGGGGGAAAACATCCAACTTTTGAGGTCAAGCTTTGTAAATATGGCACAATAGCTCATGTACTATATTAATCCTTGATCCTGTGGGGGCCCTGGGGCTGCGCTACTGGGTGTCAGAGACTGGCAAAGTCATCATAGGCATTGGGACCCAGCCTCTGACTCCAGGAGACACTATCATCTACCTCATCAGGATCACTCACTGAGCCCCCCTGGGTGGTCTCATACTCCTATTTTGTAGCTTCTCCCTTCCTGAGCTCTGATTGGCTCAGTTCTCAAAATTATGTATATTCTTATAACTCCTCCCATCATTCACCATTTTCTAACATGCTAACAATGTACAATTAATATGAATCTGAAAATATTTAAGTTGTATAATTGCTTAAATAAATGTATACCAACAGTGTACCCTACTACGTAGCAAAAAGATGTACCCAATCTAGTGTGAAGGCTCAGTTTAGTTGTAAATCAAAACATTTTAATAATTATATCAACCGATGAGAATTCATCTTTCTTTAAAAACAAAACAAAACTGAAGTACAAATGGAAAAGTTAATTAACACTGATTATTTAAATTAAGCTTTCCACTTGAGGATTTAAATCAATCCACCCTGATCGGTGTAATATCAGATTAATACAAAAGATTACCTATATTTTGCCTTTGGAGAGGGATGGGCTTTTATTTAGTAGAACTCAAAAGGTGAAGGAAAAGGGAAAAAAACAAAACAAACAACACTGGCAATCCTAGTCAATTTCTCCTTCTCCCCAGTTCAACTATGACAGGATCATTCCACACAGTTATGCTTTTTGTAAGGATTTGTTTAACCTAACTTTATACCACCACCCCCCACTAGCAGGGTTCCTCCCTCCTCCTTCCATGGTGATACTTGCATAGCTTAACAGATCCCAAACTTAGACCACGTCTACACTAGAAAAGGTTTGCTGGGGTAGCTCTGCCGGGAAACCCTCATAATATAGACTCAGCTTATACCAGCAAAAAAGTGCTTTTGCTGGTATAGCTTAAACAGGCTCCCCAAGCAAAGTGAGCAGTAACGGCAAAATCTCTCTTATACCAGTATAACTTCGCCTACGCGAGTGCTTATGCCAGTACAGAAATGTTATTTAAGAAACAAACAAACAAAAAAATCACCTCCCTAACCAACATTACTATATAGATACAAGTTTCTAAGGGCTGGTCCACACTAAGCCCCCAGTTCGAACTAAGATACGCAACTTCAGCTACGTGAATAACGTAGCTGAAGTCGAAGTATCTTAGTTCGAACTTAAAGGTACTTACCGCGGGTCCACACGCGGCAGGCAGGCTCCCCCGTCGACTCTGCCTACTCTTCTCGCGGAGTAGGATTACCGGCGTCGACGGCGAGCACTTCCGGGATCGATTTATCGTGTCTAGACAAGACGCGATAAATCGATCCCAGAAGATAGATTGCTTGCCGCCGCACCAGTGGGTAGGTATAGACGTACCCTAATATAGACATGACCTTAGGAAATTTATCCTAAAACTTTTTGTAGCTTCACTCAGGGGAAGTACCATTTCTTAATCAGCCTACAAACACCGACAGTGTCTTCAGTGGGCCTAACACTCCAAAGTATTTGACAAAGGCAGCATTTTTGGTTGGAGAAAGGGACTGGGAAGCAGAGAAACTGGGTCCTGTTGTGGGTTTTGCCACTGATTTGCTGTGGGACAACGGGCAAGTCAGTAGATGCTACTTTTCACCTACATAATATCAGAACTAGTCTCAGAACTTCCTTGATATTTATGCCAGATGCTGAATAGTGTTAAGAGCCCTATGAACATACGAGGATCAGAAAGCCAAATACGATAAACAATTTTTTTTTAAAATAAATAAGTTACCTGATATGGAAATTCTGGATGTTCACATTTTTGTAGGGAGCTGTCTTCCTCTGACACCATAACAAAAGCCCTTCCTTAGCAGATGTCTCTAGAGAGAATGCAAAGACACACACGGATTAACCTATTTTTTCCTGGAATTTTCTGATCCCTTGCATAGGCTGTAGAATAGTATTTCCAATTCATTCTGACCCAGTGTCTTTGTTAGAAACAGCAGTGAGGCGCTCTGGGAGGTGGTGGAATCTCCTTCCTTAGAGGTTTTTAAGGTCAGGCTTGACAAAGCCCTGGCTGGGATGATTTAGTTGGGAACTGGTCCTGCTTTGAGCAGGGGGTTGGACTAGATGACCTCCTGAGGTCCCTTCCAACCCTGATATTCTAGGATTCTCATTTAACTTCCTTCTTCTAGGGATGCATCCCTTATGTAGGTTTCTGATTTGTTACCATTATTTCTCTCAGGGTAGGTCTACATGGCATTTTGGAGTTAGCTGCCTAGTCTGGGTCGACATTTCCATCCAACACCATAGATCAGCCAGCAGGAAATGTCCTAGAGTCCAAGACCCACTGCACATTGCCAGGTTTCACCTTTGCCCCTTTCCTTCCCCACTCCTTTCAAATACACTCCAAGGAGCAGGATATGAAGACTCCTCCCAGAATATCCATATCAAGCCATGAACTGGCCATCAAGGGTGGTCAGAGTTCAGGGCAGCTTGGATCTCAGGCCCCATTGGGTCATCCAGGATATGTCCTCTGCTGATTCAGTTATCCCTGAAACGGGATCTCCTTTGTGGCAAGGAACACAGCTACCTGCCCCCCAACCAAAGCCACCTTCACTTGTTCTTGAACAGCAGATGGAGGCTCTGAGATTTACCTTCCACAGAGATATCCTGAATGGCAAAGCGAAGGATGATGGTCCAGATCATTCCAAGGGTCATTTTAGCATTTCCATCCACAATTTCTGCAGGAAAACACAAAATCATTATGTTGTGTGCGCAAACACCAGTGGAAGCCTGACCAAGGAAACACGGGGAGCTTTATCTTTGAAGAATCTGAAAGCTGGACTTCCATCTGATGAACGTTTCCAGCAGGGTAAGGTTCCCAAGTTAAATTTATACTGCCCGGCAGGCTCTCCACAAGCTTGCCCACCCCAACCTCTACAGCTGTGCCAATGCACCACAATCTTGACCTGCAGCACCCACTGGTATATTATGTGTGAGCTCTGCACAGCTCCTTTGATATCTCTCAATCCTTCTACTGAGCCTTTAAGTAGAGGCTGACAGTATAACGGCCTATCTACATGGGAAAGTTATATCGGTATCTGGTAAGGAGTGCATTCAAACGGCTATAGCTATACTGGTGTAACTTCCCAAGTGGACACTCTTATTTCAGTATAAGAATGCCTTTTTCTGGTTTCGCTTATGTCATTTAGAGCTTGGTCTATGCTACAAAGTTTAGCCAGCACAGCTATGTTGACTTGGAGCCTGGTCCAAAAATCCCCCTTGCTGACATAGCTATGTCAGCAAAAGCCACAGCGTAAATACAACTACGTCGTCGACAGGAAAGCGCCTTTGTCAGCACAGCTAATGTCATTTGAGGAGCTGAAAGCTAGCAGAACTCTTTTGGCCAACATATACATTGCATCTCCACGAAGGGGCTTTGCTAGCATAGCTATACTGGCCAGGGCTCTAGAGTAGACAAGCCTTTAGAATCTGTTTAAGCTCAACTGAAGAAGTTTATCTTAAAAGTTACTCATATCCCAGAACAAGAGTGGCCACGCAGGGGAGTTATACACCTGATAGAACTACTGCAGTTTAAAATATCAGTATAATTATACCTATGTAACTGGTGAATCTTTCCTGTGTAGCTAAACCCTAAGAGCTAGTGTTGTGGTGTGGACAAATACCCACCAAGATTACAAATGAAACATGGCTGGTTCCTGGGTAAGTGCAGGTCTTCAGACTGCATCCATGTAGGGCTACTTTCAGATATATAATTGCCAAAAAGCATCAACAGCATGTCACCATCAAAGCGCATACATCTCAGCTAAAGATGCAGCAAAAGGCACGTTATCCTCCACTCAAGCAGAATATTAACTTAAGATGTGAAACAGATTGTACTTTATTGCTCACTGGACCCTTTTGCAATGCAAATCAACAACTGATCGACAACTCATGGGCTTTAGAAACAGACCCCATGCATGCGTGAGACATAATAAGTTTAGAATTTGGGATATAAGTTCTGGAGAGTAGCAGCCGGTTCAGAAAGGGTTTGCAATTGCTTGTGGATTAGTGCCAAATAATACAAATGACGTACCAAATAGCTGTTTCTAATGCTCTGACCCTTGACAGGTAAAAAGATTCCATACTGTTTAAGAGGAAAACATTGTCAACGTTTTAAAAAAGCCACTTTAGGATACCTAGCCTCTGTCACTAGTACTAGAGATTACAACAAACTGAAAGAATCACATATAATGTATGCCACCAACTATTTTTGGACAGTGAAACTAAACTAGTCAGTTTCTCTTTTTTATTCTACTGCTATTTCCTGCATTGCATGGGAAATGTTTGAGAGACAATCAACTTTAAAATGACTAGAAAGGTCTTTCTAATTTAAGACTTATAAAGAAAGGGGTTAGATAAACCTGTTGTTTTGGGCCTAAGCTACTAGAGTGCTAACAAAAGAGCTGGCAGAGTTAGTTTTTGCCCCTGTGCAAACCCCTTGTGTAGCTGCCTCACACTGGTGCAAGCGAGGCTTGCATTGGTTGCAGCTGCTAAATCTCCTGATTTTATAGTGAGACCCACAATACTTGGCTTTTTTCTCATAGTCAGCTACTGGAGTCATGGGATTGAATGGGAATCTTGGCTTTCATTTTAAAGAAAGAGAGAGAAAAAAAAGTAAGCCCTTGTGGTTTCAGCTAAAAGTTGGAAAGTATGATCTCTAAAGGTTCCAAAACCAGAAGGCAAATAAAGAGAACTCCAAATCTATTATTTTGGAAAGCTCATGATTTCAAGCCAATCTTGTGACTTTTGAATGCATGAGGTTGGCAATGTTGCTGTTATGACAATCCCTTGTAAAGTACAAGGGTAAACCTCCTTGATGCAGTCCCGGTTTTGCAACATGAAGCATGTCTCCATAAGGGTTTGTACTGGTAGAGATTTCCCAATTTTCGACAAATCCTAAAACAGATATGCTGTTACATTCTCCTCCACCCTTCTTTCCCACACGTCTCCCCACTCACAATACACTAATGGACTATGGTACTTTTACTATCCCAATCTGGAATGGAATCTTTGTAGTAGCAGACTCTCACTGCCCAAGAAAAATATGCATAGAACTTTTTGTTATAGCACAAAAGAGCATGACCATGTGTTGTATTCACACTCCTGACCAGTTTCCACAAGCAAGTTTGCCTGTTGCTAGATTTCCTTGCAAATTAAATTCCTGCGGGATTGTTTTAATTAGTTGGTTGTTTTTTCGGGGGGGAAAGGAGGAACACAAGAATAGCCATACTGGGTCAGATCAATGGTCCAACTAGCCCAGTATCCTGTCTTCCTACAGTGGCCAATGGCAAATGCTTCAAATGGCATGAATAGAAAAGGGCAGTCATCAAGTAATCCATCCTGTCATCCAGTCCCAGCATCTGGCAGTCAAAGGCCTAGGGACACCCAGAACATGGGGGTTGCATCCCTGACCATCTTGGCTAATAGCCATTGATGGAACTATCCTCCATGAACTTATCAAATTCTTTTTTGAACCCAGTTATACTTTTGGCCTTCACAACATCCCCTGGCAATGAATTCCACAAGCTGACTGTCCATTGTGTGAAGAAGTACTTCCTTTTGTTTGTATTAATTTCATTGGGTGACCCCTGGTTCCTGTGTTATATGAAGGAGTAAATAACACTTCCTTATTCACTTTCTCCACACCAGTCATGATTTTATAGACCTCTATCATCCCCCCCCCCACACACACACACCCCGGTCATCTCTTTTCCAAGATTAAAAAGACTGGGCCTATTCATCTCTCCTCATATGGAAGTTGTTCTATACCCTTTTTCATTTTTGTTGCCCTTCTGTGTCTCCATTTCTAATATATCTTTTTTAAGATATGGTGACCAGAACTACATGCAGTATTCCAAGTGTGGGCTTATTATGGATTTATATAGAGGCATTATGATATTTTCTGTCTTATTATCTACCCCTTTCCTAATGATTCCTAATATTCTATTAGCTTTTCTGACTGCCGCTGCACATTGAGATGATGTTTTCAGAGAACTATCCACAATGACTCCACAATCTTTTTCTTGAGTGGTAACAGCTAAATTAGACTCCATCATTTTGTATGTATAGTTGGGATTATGTTTTGCAATGTGCATTACTTTGCAATTATCAGCACTGAATTTCATCTGATATTTGGGTGCCCAGTCACCCAGTTTTGTGAGATCCCTTTGTAACTCTTTGCAGTCAGCTTGGGACTTAACTATCTATCTTATATATTAATTTTGTATCATCTTCAAACTTTGCCAGCTCACTATTTACTCCCTTTTTTCAGATCGTTTATGAATATGTTGAACAGCACTGGTCACAGTACAGATTCCTTGGGGACACCACTATTTACCTCTCTCGGTTCTGAAAACAGACCATTGATTCCTACCCTTTGTTTCCTGTCTTTTATCCAGTTACTGATCCATGAAAGGACCTTCCCTCTTATTAAATTTTTTAATTAAATAAATAAAGATATGGAGATATACTTATCTCATAGAACTGGAAGGGACCCTGAAAGGTCATTGAGTCCAGCCCCCTGCCTTCACTAGCAGGACCAAGAACTGATTTTGCCCCAGATCCCCCCTAAATGGCCCCCTCAAGGATTGAACTCACAACCCTTATACCATGACTGCTTAATTTGCTTAAGAGCCTTTGGTGAGGGACCTTCTCAAAGGCTTTCTGAAAGTCCAAGTACACAATACCCCCTTCTCCTCATGTTTGTTGACCCCCTAAAAAGAATTTTAATAGATTGGTGGGGCATGGTTTGTTTGTTTGTGTATCTGATAATTCTCTTCTTTACTATAGTTTCAACCAATTTACCTGATACTGAAGTTAGGCTTATTGGCTTGTAATTGCCCGGATCACCTCTGGCATCACATTAGCTATCCTCCAGTCATCTAGTAAAGAAGACTATTTAAGTGATAGATTACATACCACAGTTTGAGGAAAGAATCAAAAATATGATACGAAATAGTTTACAGCAAGTTTTTCCAGTCCTATGATATTAGTATTTTGCAGAGCTCCAGAACACAGTCAATTTAAAGAAAAAAAACCACACTTCCCTTTGAGTATTTTTGTACTTTTGTTACAAACGATGTCTACAACCTGAGATGCCTGCAGTTAAGAAAGAATAAAGGAAAATAGCACTATTGTGTTCAATTTGTTTATCTGGTACATCTGACAGCATTTTCTGTGGGTTTTTCCAAAGCAAGAGGAGAGAAACATTTGGAAAAAAACTAACTAAGATTGTAAAGATCACAGGAGTTGGCAGGAGGACACAAGGGAAGGTTTAAGCCCTGAAACTACTGCTAGCTTTTTATTTTAGTTGACTCCAGTTCAATTTATGGCATCTTTTAATCCTAAAAGTGCTTTACAAACACTAACAAAATCAACCAACAACCTGAGGTAGGTAATTAATATCACCATTTTAAAGACTTTCTGATACAATTTACATAATTGCTGCTCTGAGTAAAGAGCGGGCAGGCAGGCATCCTTCCCTTCTAGAGCCCAAGTACATCCTCCAGCACCTTGGGTACAAGTTTTGCCAGCTTGCTGAAAGAAGTCAGTGGTCACACCTACTCCAATGAAGCTATCTGACCTAGCCCATTCACTCTCCTACAGCTGTGTTCCTATTGCCCAAGGTGCACTGCAAGTTCATTCCACTATAGGATTCATGTGGGGTCCTTGGACTATC